TACCATGCTGTATTCCTGCATGCCACCTCAGGCCACGTGGGCACAGCTGGCACAGCTCATTCCTGACCTGGCCACATGCCAGGGACTTGGGGAGGGGTACAGGGAGCCACAAGTGATCTGGGCCCAGTTGAGCCAGTGCCATGCCGTGTTCCCTCCTTCTCCCTGCTCCTTCTGCCTCACCCCAAGTCCCTGGCACATGGACAGGCCCTGTTGCTGTGCTTTGTTCCCGTGTGCTGCTTTGAGTCATGCAGGAGCAGCTGGAGTGGCTTCTGCCTGACTTGGGTGCATGCTAGGGACTCAGGGTCAGGCAGGAGCTGCACCAGCTGCTCCAGCTGTGTCCACATGGCGCAGCCCAAAGTGGCATGTGGGAACACAGTGCATCCCAGTGCATGTCAGGCCAGGGCTTGGTAGGGGCATGGTCACCGCTACTGTGATGACAAAACCTTGATAATCCACGGTTCCTGGCCCTCTTCCCCCTGCCCCACTCTGCCACCAGGAGGGAGGACCTTACCTGCGCTTTGACTCTTGCCAAAGGCCAGGCTGTCTGGTTTCCAAACAGCTGCAGGGTTGGAGAAGTGCAGAGACAGCTTTGCTGGGCAGAAGCCTGGCCAGGAGCTCAGTGCCCTTTGCCTAGGACTGTACCCTGGGGCCTGCGGGGTGGGACAGGGTGGGCCAGCCAGGGAGGGGAGCAGGTGGCTGGCAGGGGCAAGGAAGAAGGGTGAGAGGTGCCAAAAGCCAGGGCAGCCACAGGCCAGATACAATTGTCCTTCCAAAGGGCAGCCGCGGGCTGGAAGAATCATTTGGTGGGCCAGATCACCATATTTTGCCCACCCCTGCCATAAGGCAACTGGTGCCCTGGTGGCACATATGGGCCAGGAGGGCCCATGTTGTATAAAGACTAGTTTGGGAACTAGTCCAAGAGGGATCTGCTGGCAGGAAGACAGAGCAGGGATCACTGGAGCTCCCTTGGGCAGCCTCCTTTTCCAAAATTAAAGGAGAACATCAGGGTGTGGCAGGCGGGAGAAAAGCTGGGGTAACGTAGAGTCAGAGAAGCAGGACCTGCGTAGCCACCAGGAGGCATCACGGCCACCCCTGGATCACCGATCCTGTTACACCACATCTTCAGATTGATCTGGGAGTTTGCCTTTAAGGTGGTTCTGAGCTTTTTCCCCCCTGCGCTCATGGACCTGAGAGCAGCCACTGGGGAGAAAGCTAGGAGTGGCCTCGCTGGCAAACTTCTGGGCTTTGAGTGTGCCTGCAGGTGTGTGTGTTGTGGGGGGGGGAGGCTCAGGGCCATGTTAGCTGGGACCACTCCCCGCACCACCCAGCAGCCCTTTGAGAGTTCAAGGGTTAATTGAACACATTGGGTTTCTTTTAAGGGCTGGGGAGAAACACTAATATTCTCCTTCCAGCTTTAAAGTAACCCACATTTGGCGTGGTCAGGAGCAGAGTCACGCACCCTAATCTTACCTGTTAGCTGTTACTCCAGAAAGGAGCAGCCTTCTTTCTCTGCTTAGGGTGTTATATTGCCCCACTGTTGCTGTTGCATAAAAACACCTGCTTTATCACTGAGCAATACATCAGCGTGAAGAAGAGGATATTCTTGTTGAGAGGTGCAACATCTGAGCTCATGCCCTGGCTTTGCTGCAGATTCCTTGTTTGCCCTTAGGTGCATCATCTAACCCCTGCCCCTCAGTTTCCTGCTCTGGGAAACGAGTGATGAAACACTTCGGCAAGCAGGGATTGTGATGAATCTCTAATGTGCGTGGCACTGAAATACCATGATGGCAAGAGCCATAAAAACACTTATAGAGACTCAGCTGGCACTTAATGCTGGCTGAAATTCGGCCTCTGAGAAGTTATTTCTTTTCTGCTACACTAAGTTCTAGTTCCAGTATCGTTCCCATGGGGCCTACCTTCTCTTCTCTGGGGTTGCTGGCTTGATTTTTGGCAGTGGGGCTGAGGAAACCTCCCCTTCAGGAGAGTGAAGGAAGTAGACACCACACGATTAGGATTCTGGACATGGAGGGGCATCTCCAGTCATTCAGTTCTGGGTAGTCGTGTGTACATGCGGCCCTTCTCGCTCCTCTATTGTACCATCAAACACCCTCAGTAACACCCGGGCTCTCACTAGCATTTCTTTTCCAGCTACTCAGTTGGTCTAATAAAAGACATCTCATCTCCCCAAAGAACCTTGCCTGCCTGTGCCCTTAGACCAACAGGGCTACAACCAAAAACCCTGCAAGTTTCTCTTTGTTTAATTTCTCTTCGGTTAGAAACAGCAAGCAGATTTCCCCTAAAACAAAGCCTTTTATTCTGGGCTCCTCCAGAAGTACAAACCCGTTGTCCCGTCCTGAGTACCCATGAAGTACGCGAATTAGCCCTTTGCCCCAGAGACAATCAATTTGAGTGAATTGCTATTCTAGTTGAGTGTGCAAATCCTTGTCCCGGTCTGTTTTGATGAAATAAGCCCAGGGGCAATCAACCCCAGATTAAACCAGCCCTCTGATTTTTAGTCCTAATCTCTAATGCTCTCTCCCCTTTGGTATTTAAGGGATGCTACTGTTTTCCCTGTTCTTAAATGTCAGGCCATTTCTGCCTGTTTTACAGGTGAAAGCCCCCTGCTTGCATTCTTACTTTTGACCTCTCCAAAGAGCTTTATCTCCCAGGTATTTATAATCATTTATCAGATCCCTCTGGCCAAGGCCTGGAAAATGCCTTTAATCTTTGAATGGGTAATGCTCTCTAATCCTTTTATCACCTGTTCTTAGGCTCAGGTTGGCAACGCTTTCAAAAGGAGGAATCTGTAAGAACACTGAGTCACCCAGCTGTCTATGTTTATAGTGAAGTAGGCTGTGGGGCCACTTTGCTTGCCTAACTAAAAGCTCAGAGCAGAAAACACCCTGATTTGTAAAGAGTATTTGATATTCACCCATATAACAGTTAATAAGGTGATCTGGGCTTCTTTACTGCAAGCAGTAGACTTTCCATTGACTTCGGTGAGTATTGAACCAGGCTCTAAGGTTGGGGAGAGATGTAATACTTAGGATGTTTTAAATACACTTTATACTACAAGAGTCTAGATGTGCAAGTCACTTTAGACAGGGTTAAGCTTCCTGGAACATTTTAATATCGAACCAAGAAAATCAAGTACTATTTTAAGCTGGCCCTCCTTTAATCGGTGTAGTGTAATGTGTGGACACACGGGTGTTGGTTGTAGCTGTGTTGGTCTACGGACATAGGCAGGCACGGTTCTTTGGGTAAATGTGATATCTTTTATTTAACCAACTAAATAATTGGGGGGAAAAATGTTCTTTGCAAGCTTTTGGGCACAAACACCCTTCTTCAGGTACAGGGAGAGAGCATCCATGGCTAGTGACTGTGTGGTCACTCCTCCAGGCATCCCACACTGCACTGCTCCTTACGCCCCACAAACGCATGCAGGACAATGGAGCTTCTTGGACTGCAACCAGGACTCCACGCCCAAAGATGCATTGCCTACAGAGACCACAGTCTCCACCCCCGGGTGGTGTCCTGGCAGCAATACAATCCCTAAAAGATGAGGCTTCCCCTTGAACCCTGAGCCAAGTGCCAGGTATCCTCTGTCCAGGGGCAGTTGTGAACTGGTTCCCAATCAGTGACGTCCTTGGAATGGCTCAAGGGTTACGTCTGCACCCTTAGTAAAGCAGCGATGCAGTGAATGACCAGAGATGAGCCCTATAGGTCTTTGCTACCCAGGGCCTTACGCTGCAGCTCATCACTAGCTGATATTTCTTTGCTCTGTGCACGCCCTGTCACTGAGCTCAGTGCCTAATTTAGTTAGTCTGTAAGGTACAAATCCACCCTGCCTTTCTGCAGAGTCATTCACTCATTTGTATGCGCGCTGCCGGTGCTTCCTTCCTGATCTAATTTCCACAGCACCAAGTGATGTCAGCACTGACCAAGAGGCAGTCTGGCGGCTGGAGATACGCTGATAAAAACAAATTAATAATGGCCTCCTTCAAATCACATTCGTCGAGTCAGAGACACTGCAGAAGGGGTGGGCAATTATTTTGGCTGGAGGGCCACTTAGGGAGTTTTGATGAGCTTTGTCATTACACTGGCTCAGCACCCCCACCCTCAGCTCACAGCAGCTCCCCTAAACTCCCTAAGCGTCCCCTAGATCTGGGAGTGGATTGCAGCTCTGCCCTGGCCCTGCTCCTGTGCTGTCACCGCCACTCTGCCTCCCAAGCATACCCTGCCCACATGGGTCAAGGATTGGCCTCTGTAGAGACCCTGCCCCCTGCCCGCTCCATCTGGCATCCCTGCAGTGGGTGCAGGGCACATGGGCTGGCATGCCTAGGCAGCGGGGCCAGGGCCAGCGACGGTGCCCACCCTTGGTGTAGGAGGTGGAGAAAACCCCCCTTTGGCCAGAAACAGGTGTGTATTTTCCCACAGAAGCAAACTCAAGCACATGTCTCACTAGCTCTTCTTCCTATCCTTCTGCTTCCTAACCAGCATTTTCATGCTCCTGCTCAGCTTTATTTTTTTTCCTTTAGAGCATATTCACCTATGCTCACCATCTAATCGTGTCGTGCAAAGCAGAATTGGGGGTTTTTTTGTTCAGGATCCAGTCCTGTGACTTTGTGCTGACTTCCCCTGCTCCTTCCCTGGTATTCTTTACACTCACAAGATCTCTTTTAGCTTCTGCTTCCTTTCTATCTGTTGCAAACTAATCAAAAGTTGCCGCTTGGAAAGAGATGAGCTGGTTCACTTTCCTTTTGCAGTAAAACAGTTGTTTCGGACCACAAGCATGTGTCTGAGGGCTGCAAAGTCGGCTTTTTCAAGACAATTGTGCTCAGTACAATTTTATCCGTGAGAAGCTGGTTTTGCATCGGAGCAAATCTGAAGTAATTCCAGTGACTTGACTGGAAGGACTCCAAGCGTACACAGGGATAAATGAGATCAGCTTCTGGCCCATTATAATAAGCTTCTTGGCTTCTCTCCTTTCATTTAGCTGAATGCAATCGAAATGTGTGTGGAGCTCCCAGTCTCAAGTTTCTGACCGAGCAGGCAACAGCAACGCTTTAGGGTGAGGACACAAAACATGCTTACACTGGTATAATGGACATTGGTTATACTGATATAAATTATGCTGGGATTTGGAGTGGACAGACTATCAGGTAATCCCAGAGTGGCAGAGGGTAAGCTGTTCTTATAGTGCTTCACCACTGGGTGGCTGGGAGCCACTGAGGTATCCAGGTTGTAGCTGTATTGGTCTAGACTAGAGGCAAAAGGAATCAGAATGGGTGGCAGAGGTGATATCTTTTATTAGACCAACTAGATTTTTGCAAAAAACAAAACTTTAATTGCAAGCTTCCGGGCACAAACACCCTTCATCAGGCACAAGAGAACAGATTATAAAAGTTTTCCTGGGTAGAAATGAAAGTTCAGATTTCATAGGAGAGTTGAAGGTGTGCTAAAATCTCCTGGTTTGGAACAGCTCATCTATGCAGGTTAGGCTTAGAGAAAAGTTGGAATAGTCTCTTTGCCTCAAAGTTGTTTGGTGGCAAGCAGCATGTAGCCATATTTCCTCCTGGTTGTGGGGTTTCATAGTTCACAGAAGAGTAAAAAGATGGACTGCTCTTCTGGGCAGGCATTTCTTATGTGGCGAAGTGTCTCTGAGCTCTGTGACGATGCAAATGACCTCGAGCAAAGGCTGGTTTCAGGTGCTCCAACTTGATCCTCGTAAAATTGTGAAGATTTCGGGTTTTTTTAATTGGCTAAAATGTGACCTCTGCCATGCACCAGGTATCCGGGTTGTTGCCGTATTGAGCCGACAATAACTTCAGCAAATCTATGCAGGAATTGTGCCAGTTTCTGAGGCTTCAGGGATGGCACAAATTGGTGGTAGCGGTAGGATCCTGAAGGGGGGCTATCCCACAAGTGAGGCAAACAGGGGCCAGGGAGCTGTTCTCAGGAGTGCGGACAGATGACAGAACAAGGAGCAATGAGCTCAAGTTGCAGCAAGGGAAGTTGAGGTTAGAGATTAGGAAAAACTTTCTCACTAGGAGGGTAGTAAAGCACTGGAACAGGTTACCCAGAGAGGTGGTGGTCTCTGCATCCTTGGAGGATTTTAAGGCCTGAAAGCCTGGGTTGGGATGGTCTAGTTGGGGCTGGTCCTGCTTTGAGGTCCCTTCCAATCCTCATCTTCTATGATTCTTTGAAGTGGTTTAATAGAGGCGTGAGGGTTGTCTTCTCTACAGCATGGGGTCTTCTAGAGTTTGGGCTTGTTGATACTTGGCAACTTAAATCATTGTTTGGGAGAAAGAGCTAATCTGGAATAGTTATTTTGGGCCAAACCCCTGGATGAATACTACTTCTACGGATTTGCAAGCATAGATCAGCTCTTGATAAAACTCTAGAGACAGCAATCCCATAACAAAATGACACTCAAGTTATGGTTTAAGTCAAGTCTGCATTGAAGACAGGCCTTCAGAAGGAAGACCATCAGCTATCAACGTGTACGTGAATGTATCTTAACTCTCAGCAGTGTAGCTTGACTTGCACAGCTGACCAATTTGAATGCCTCCTTGTCTCTAATTGCTAATTAGTGTGTTCTGGCTGGAAGGAGAAAGCTGGAATTGTCCTTTTAGCTGCAGCTAGTCCTGAGATGCTAGCAGCCTCCTGCTCCCTCTCACAGCAAATACAAAGAGCTGTCTTTATTTGAGGAAACTGCCTGAATTTCCAGTGTCATTGTCCATGCAAATACAAGAAACCATTTCCCCTTCAGAGCAATTGGATGCCATGTTTAAAGGAATAGTATAAATACTCTTCTATGCATCTCCGCTGAGTCCAACAACAAAACATATTTTTTTTATGTAAGTCCCTCACCTAAATATGAAATGGCCACCAGTTCCTGTAATTGTTGGCGTGTTTGACCTGTTATTAAGCATGTTTGATGTGGAATTTCCTAAATGTGTAGATAATACGCATGATGGGGTCCAGTGGCTGGAAGCATCCTGCGGTAGCTGAGATTTGAACAAGATGACCGCGGAGGTCCCATCTGTCTAACTTCTGTGATACCCAATTAGCAATCAGTCATGTAGAGATGACTTTTACAGGGTATTAGGTTAGTCATAAACTCATAGAGAAGTAGGGCTGGAAGGGACCTCCAGAGCTCATCTATTCGACCCCCTCTGCCCGAGACAGGATCATCCTTGCCCAAATCATCCTATACCAATCCATAATCTAAACTCTTCATAAACTACCATCAACCCTGACACAACACAAGACCTAACCTGACACAGGTAAAGCAAGGGGACAATGGCACCCTACGTCCTGCTTCTGTAAAATGTTGTTCACGTTGTTCAAGTGATCCCCAACGGAGGATACAGAGGAAGGCAAAAACCCCCACCATCCATAAAAAGAGGCAATTATTGTGTCTGTGCAACATAATGGCATGGGCTTAGACCACAAAAGCCAAGTTCAATCCATTAAATTCAGCAGAGCCGGGGAGGTTTTGCTCTTTCAGGTCAGACTGCTAGAGTCATCATTTTCTATTTGTACCTTGCAGTTGGCTACTGTGCTGCTTATTATGGAATTGCATGCACACACAAAAGCAAATTAATGATTTCCAGGCCAGTCGTTTGTCAAGGAAAGACTCTGGTTCCTGGGCAGAGAGAGCAAGGTAAAACTCCTGGATGAACAGAAGTCCCAAGGATCTAGTTGCAAGTGGGTTTATGCCACTAGAGGGCTCAGACCGCTGCTGTGATTCTCTGCTATGGCAACCACAGATCATATACCAGGAGCATCTTACCCTGGGTACCAAAGAGCTTTTTACAACTCTCTTTACAATTGCACAGAGCCGGAGAGATTTGCAGCAGTGGTGATTTTGCATTGCATAACAGGATAATCTGTAGCTGCTTGTAGAAACTTTCTGATCCTATTTGAAGACGTTAAGGCGAGAAGGGAGGCTGAGGTCACCTGGTCTGACCTCCAATGCAACAGTCTCACCCCATCAGCTCTGCACGGAGCCCAATGACTTGTGTTTGACAGAAGCAGCTTTTCCAGGAAGGCCTTCAGGCCTCAGTGGAAAATAGCAAGCAATGGCAAATCCATCACGTCCCTTGGAAACTTGTTGCAATAGTTAAACACGTTCAGTTTGCAAAACTTTATTTTCAATTGAATGAGCCTCACTGTAATGCCCATCCATTGGTTCTTTAGACCTTTGTCAGATGGATTAAAGCACAGGCATTTTCTCCCCAGGAGCAGATTTATGCGCCATAATCAAGTAACCTCACACCCTTCTTATTGATCAGTGGGACGGAGCGAGCTCTGAGAGTCTCTCTGTTTAAGGCCTTTTCTGCAGCTCTCAACTCCATTTTTGAAGCATTTTCTTTTGAAGCATCCCTTTCTAAAATGCAGACGGCAGAGCTGGGCTCAGTGTTCAAGGTAACAGCCTCGCCAGTGCCTTATACGGAGGTAAAATCACCCCCTACTCCTATTCACTGCCCCCTTATTTATACCCCAAGAATAGCATTAGCCTTTTTTTAGCCACAGTGTTGCCCTGGGAGCTCACGCTGATTTGCTCACTCGCTCCAACCTGTAAATCCTGTGCAGAATCACTGCTTTTTCATTCTGCAGGTATTTTTTGATCTTCAGCACGCATGTCATGTTCAACCAATACGTTGTGCAGAGCTCCCCCTCATCAGAGGTGGGCATTTGTGGTATGTCTTAGCCCCAAATCACCATTTTTAAAGTGCATTAAGGGCACTCACGTGTAGACATGTGCACCTTAAATTTAGGCTAAAGCTCATTAAAGCATTGCATGTAGATACATCCACTGTGTTTTACAAAGATGCACACCTTGATTGTCCCCATTTTAAAGATGAGTGAACTGAGGCATAGAGGCAAGATCCCCTAACTCTGAGGGTGGAAATATGGTATCCTCAGTCATGCACAACAAATTAACACCGATGTCTTGGCTAGAAGAGGGTGTTTTCTTTTCAGTTCTCTGCTTCAACCATTGGGAATTCTGCCTTCTACACATGTCGTACAAACCCAGCTCTGTCCATGAGAGGCACTTTCATGGCTCCCAGTGTAGTATCTAAGCACCTCTTCATAAAAGAAGAATACTTTATTGTTGGTTTCAGCAGAGATGCATAAAAGAGCATTTATAATATCATTTTAAATGTGGCATTGAGTTGCTCTGAAGGGGAAATGGTTTGCTGTATTTGCATGGACAATGCCACTGGAAATTCAGGCATTTTTCTCTTTGTGTTTGCTGCTGAGAGGGATGATGTGGAACAGTGGCAGGAGACTGCTAGCATCTCAGGACTAGCTGCATCTAAAATGATTATTGCAGCTTTCTCCTTCCAGCCAGAACACACTAATTAGTAATTAGAGACAAGGAGGCATTCAAATTGGTCAGCTGTGCAAGTCAAGTACACACTGCTTTGAGACAAGATACATTCACGTACACATTGATAACTGATGGTCTTCCTTCTGAAGGCCTGTCTTCAATGCAGACTTGACTTAAACCATAACTTGAGTGTCATTTTGTTATGGGATTGCTGTTTCTAGAGTTTCATCAAGACCTGATCTATGCTTGCAAATCCGTAGAAGTAGTATTCATCCAGGGATTTGGCCCAAAATAACTATTCCAGAATTGCTCTTTCTCCCAAACAATGATTTAAGTTTCCAAGTATTAACAAGGCCAAACTTTAGGAGATCCATGCTGTAGGGAAGACAACCCCCAAGCCGCTATTAAACCAGTTTATAGAACTGAAGATGATGGTTGGAAGGGACCTCAAAGCAAAACCAGCCCCAACTAGACCATCCCAGCCCTGGCTTTGTCTAGCCAGGCCTTAAAAACCTCCAAGGATGGGGAGTCTACCACCTCCCTAGGTAACCTGTTCCAGTGCTTTACTACCCTCAACATGAGAAAGTTTTTCCTAATATCTAACCTAAATGTGTAATCTTTTCATGGATTATGACAATGCCCTGGTGAAATGGAGAAGTGCTATTATAGCCCCATTTTATACCTGGAGACCTCGAGCATAAAAGGTCTGTCTATATGGCTTCTGGCGT